CGCGCCAAGCTCATCGCTGCATGCGGTACAATCCACACCTGATCGTGCCTCTCGCCACCTTCCACCAATGTCAACAGCATTAACCGCCGATGGAAGCCCACTGCCGCGACCACGTAGGGGTGCGGCGGCGCCAGCCTCGTCGAGCTATACGAGCGTCCAAGACCAGTCTCCGACTCTAACATCATCATACCTGCCAGAGGACGGAACTTCATTCGTGACGCCCGCGCCTCACCGCGTGCATCCAAGACTGGCTCCTCCCAGTACTGCGCAGCGGCCGAGCCAACACATGCCAACTAGTTCACCTGCTCCATTCTGGAGGTACGCTGATATTGGCAGCACACCACTTAAACCTATTGGTCATCTCGACTTGAGTCCTACAAAAATCGCTGGCCGGCTCCCACCACAGAGCAGCAGCCCACCGCCCCGCTCTGCACGGTCACCAGTTACGAGCCCAACGCGGGGCCATGACACGAGAGAACAGACAGAGGAGGCCGCTGCAGAACCACCTGAGGTTGAAGAGGAGGAAGGCTTTGATCTGGCTAAGTAAGTTCCGCAAGCGTCTTCCGTCAGTCAATATTTGTTGACCAATACTCCCAGGGGTTTCCAAAGCATAGGATCATACCATGCTCCAGTCAGTCGTGGTCTTGCTATAGCGAGCGCTCTCGGCGCAAACAAGCCTTGATTCTATGCTTCGCTGCGGCATTCAAGCCATGAAGTCCAGGTTGCATGTTCCCCAAGCTCCTTGATGTTCGTCCCTGCCGGGCAGTCAGTTGTTTCTTGCGTGGCCTTGAATGCTAAACACCTTGCTGTCTGTAGTCAAGAATTAAGGATCACATGGGAGTTGATGCGATTTGGAGTGAAGATGAATTTTGATTACACGGACTGAGTATTGTGTTGAGTCTTGGCAGCAGGCTGCCCGTTGGCACACATGCTCTGATTGACGGCCCTCTCGCCCAGTCCCTTAACCCAACCATGCAAACTACATGAGCCGATGCGGCATCATCAGATACCTTGACCTTTTGAGCCGTTCTTTTTTGACATGTCTATTATACAACAAGATTCTCCATGCTAAAAAAAAAGAAAGCTCTTCCGTAGACTACGCTGCCGCAGAGTAGTTGCTGGAAAATTCCGGGAGAATTCTAAATCGGCGCGTCGTTCAGGCCTTGCCTCGCCTCTTGGGGTTACCCCTGCTTGGCCGCTTCGAAGACTTGTTGGTTTGCTGGTCGTTGCCCTCAATGAATTTGATGAGCTCATCGATGCTACGCGAGTCCATTTGAGAGGAGCCATCGAGCTGAGTCTGGCGAGAGGTCGAGGCGACAGCAGAGGGTGCGTCAGCTTCGAAAGGGGCGCCCCGAGGTGAAAATTTGATGCCTGTGCGCAGGCGGCGAGTCTGCATATCTTTGGCGTGCTTTGCGATGGAGACGGCGTTCTGGGTTAGTTGCTCCAGCCAGCTCTCTGCCTCCTTGGTGTTTTTGTCGTCAGCGCCTAGCTCGCTCAAGAAGATGTTGTAGGATTCTCGCATGCGCTTGACTGCGCCCTTGGAGTCTTGGTCGAGGGCCAGTGCTTGCGCCAGCTGGAACAGCAGCGTTGCAGCGTTGATCGACGACTTTCCGAAGACCTTCTCGCAGACTCGTAGCGATTCCTCAAACCATAATCTAGACTCATGGTAGGCCTTCAGGTGCTGAAGCATGACGGCACCATTGTTGATGGTCGTAATCGAGTCAGGATGGTCAGGGCCATAGATTATCTTCCAAAGCTGAAGGGCGTGCTTCGCATACGACAAAGCGCCTTGGCTATCGCCAGTCTGGTGGAGGAATAAGCTGAGGTTAAGGTAGTTGAGTAGTGTCTCGGCTGAGTCGATACCAACCGTCCGCTCAGAAACAACGATCGCCTTGCGGGAGAGCTCTACAGCTGCCTCCTTCTCATCCAGCTGGTAGTAAAGCATGGACAGTGTGTTGTACACACGAGCAACTTCTGGGTGAAGAATGCCATAAATCTGCTCGTGCAGGGAGAGAGACTCTAGCAGAAGCTCTTGGCCAAGCTTCTTCTGCGACTGCATGATGGAGATGCGGCCTGCCTCGAGCGCCTCCTCGGCAAGAGCGCTACGAGGGCAGGAGTGCTTGACGACAGGGACAATGTTGATGACATCGTCGGCACTAAACGTGCACGGTGCTCCAGTAGTAGCGACTGCAGCGGGCGAGGCGTCGCGGTTCTTCTTTTTGTTCTTCTTCTTTGACTCGCCATTAAGCTGACCATTGGCCGTCGCATCAGCGGGCTTGGCTTCAGTAGGAGCTTCGGTACTGTCCGTCTTGGAGAACAAGTACTCCTTGGCTTGCAACTGGAGACCAAGCTTAAGAGAGATTTCTCTGAGGGTCTGAAGAGGCTTAATGCTCTTGTACCACTCGCCATCCAGCTTAAACCTGTATCGTCGATGTGTTTCTTCAGAGATACGAGCCCTTAAGATCTGCGGAGTGACTAATTCGTACGAGGTATCGAGATCCGAGTAAAGCGCCTTCATGGTGGGATCTACGTCGGCAACAGGCTTCGGATTCAACTCCGCGCCGAGAAGGCAGTTCAGAAGATGGGCAACGCAAGACGAGGCCAACGGGCTGGGGGTCTCCCGCAAGAAGGAAGAAATGACGTGCTTAAACGAACGGGCGACCATATCCTGGATCGCGATATCCCTTAGGCACTGGAGTCGCGGGTCCGTGCTCAGGGAGGCAATCCTACCCAGGTACCTCACGTTGATACCCCTCTTGTGCAGCAAACGACTGAGTGCTTGGCCATCCATAGGGAAACTGATATCGCAATCCTGAAGCTCGCGCACCAAGTCAGGAATGACCCGATCGGTCAGATACTCGCAGGCGACACGAACATCTTTCTCGTCAGCCTTGAGTTCCGCTTTCTCGTCGGGCGTTTGAGGCAATTGGCCGCTGAAGGCGTCGGGGTTGAGAGCGAATTGGAACTGAGAGAGATCGATGCGGTCCTTCTCCTTCTCGGAAGCTGCTTGAGCTTCGGTCGATTCGCCTGTGCTGTCGGCAGTCGAGGCCTGCTTTGTCGTGTCGTCCGTGGAATCCTGCTTCGACTGAGCGCGCTGCGCGAGCTGCTCGTCAACCCACTCCTTCATCTTCTTCCGGCCGAAGGATTCCACAAGCTCAGGACGCAACACGGTCATGCGGTGAGGGTATCAG